AGAGGGAAGTAAAAAAGGAAAAGGAAAGAAGAAGTTATCTGCTGTGAGCAATCAAGTTTGTGACCCTACTGCGAGGGACATGATAGAGGCTTCTTTGTAGCTGAGGGAAACAGCTTTTCGTTTGCATCAATCATGTGAACTGTGAATATTTGTGCTCCCATCTTCATCATCGGAGTTGACAATGAAATGAATACATCAGAAGTACAACACATTGAAAACGTACATCCAGCCGGGGATTTAGCTCAGTGGCTCCGTCGCCTGCCTTGAAAGCACAAGGTCCCGAGTTTGATCCCCAGTACAAAAAAAAAAAAAAAAGACATAAACTTAAGTTAATGAAATAAATTTTTAAACTTATTTTTTAAAAAAATAAAGTAAATTTTTTTTTGGTATCAGGAATAGAACTCGGGACCTTGCACTTGCAAGGCAGGCGGTGGAACAAGCAAATTTTTGATAGACTTTCCGTGCTCCGGATGGGATACTTGTAAAGCGCCCTCCTCTTCTTTCTCTCTCTTCCTTCCCGTTTGTTGTTGTTTGAGATTCTCCCTCTCTCCGCTGCACTCTCCCTGCACATTCTCAACCTGCTCTCTAACCCCTTTCTCTGTGGGGCCATGGATGGCTTCTGAGAGTCAGTCCAGGAGCTGTCTTCTAGAAATTCCCACCTGGGTAACCTAAGAGGACCCTAAATATCTGCTGCGGTTGGAATAGGTCCCCCAAAAGATCATGTGCTGGAAACTTATTCTCCAGATTCACAGAGTGGGAGGTGGAGGTGGGGCCTTGCAGCAAAGATCATTCCCATGCATTTGGGAGGCCGTGAAGTGGCTTCACAGAGAGACAGGCCCGGCTGGGTCTCACCCGGGGACACCCTCTGCTGTGCTGTGAGCAGAGAACAGGCCCTGCCAGATGCCAAGCACACTCTGGCCTCATGCTCTTGGGCCGTCCAGCCTCCGGTAGTTGGGGCCAAACACACTGCTGGTCTTTGTAAATGACCTCATCTTAGCTATTTCGTTACAGCAATGGGAGGCAGACTAAGACAACACATAGACAAACTCATCTCTCGTGTGCAGTACCAGGGATTGAGCCCAAGTCTTCACACTGACTGGCCCTTTCTTATTTTTATCTTGAGAAGGCATCTTGCTAAGTTGCCCAGGCTGAGCTCAAATTTGCAGTCTTCCTGCCTCTGCCTCCTAGAGTGCTGGGATTAAGTGTGTGCCACCATGCCCAGCTCCTTAATTTTTTCCCCAGAACTGAAGATTGGACCCAGCGCCTTGCGCATGCATAGCACATCTCTACGACTGGGTTATAGCCTTTTTTTCAGTTTTTTATTCTGAGATAGGGTCTTGCTAAATTGCCCAGGCTGACCTTGAACTTGTGATCCTCCTGCCTCAGCCTCCTGAGAAAATGGTGGCATGTGCCAGCATGCCCAGCAGAATTTATTAAGTTTATCATACCAATTGTAAATTCTCCTAAATGTTTTATTTCCAAAAATATCATCTGCTGTCACCCAGCTGAGCTAGAAACGTCACCCTTGACTCCCTTCTTTTCTCTTCCCACAATACCATTAATATTCTTTTTGCGCCGTGAATCCACTCGTTTTTGTTTCCTCCTCTTCATCCCTCCTACATCTGCTTCAAACTCCAAACTCTGGGAGAGTCTGTAGCAGCTGCTGTCTGACTGGCCTCCAGCCTGCAGTCCCCTCTCTCCTCTTTTATATACATCATTGCCACGGTTCTTCTAAAACAGGAATGTGATCAAATTATGTTCCTGTTTCCAAATGACAAGGGTTCCACATTAGGTTTCCTAGGATTCTGCAGGATTCTTCAAAACCTGGCCACAACCTCCAGGAATTCCTGTTACTTCTGGAACAGCAAGAGAGAGTTCAGCATAATGGTTAAGAATGTGAATGCAGGGTCTCAGTTGTGTCTCTGACAGCTCTTGCCAGGGACAAGTCCTTAATCTCCCCTTGCTTCATCTGGAAAATGGGAACAGTGGTGGCTATTTTAACCTAAGTCACTGGTCGCTGCTATTGTCAAATACTAAGGACAAAAAGGCATAACTTATAGATCCAAAGCACTCAGTAAATAACTACAGAGTTAATGTTCCATGTCCTTTAGTACCTTGTTCATTATGCTGAACCTCTCCATCCCCTTCCCAGGAGGCTTAGCGTCAGTCTTCAAGATGTCACTCACAAGGTCATCACCCTCCTCCCTGAGGCAGCCAGTTACTTCTCCTTGTGCGCTGTTGTCTTAATAAATCTTCCTGCAGTTACAGTTACACTCGGCAGGGAATTGCATACAGTTGTTCATTTATTTATTAATTGAGACACAATCTCCCTGTGTAGTTTTGACTGGCCTTGAACTCACTATGAAGCTTAGGCTGGCTTCAAACTCACAGCAATCCTCCTGCCTCAGCCTCCTGAGTGCTAGGATCACAGGCGTGCACCACCATACCCAGCTTGAATGGCATACACTTTTCTGAAACTCCTGCAACTGAACTCCCAGCTGGCAGGATGAGGCCCAGGTCTCACTGGCAAGTATAATCCTCACCTGCTGCCCCGCATAGTGCCGGGTTTAGAAGGCATTCACTACAGCTCTGCTGAACAAAACGGCCTTTGTCCCCAGCTCCTCAGGACCTAACAGACTCTGCTTGCAGTGAGTTATTTCCCTGAGAGCCTCAGACCATGTCTTTCCCATCTTTGTGTCAAGGAAGCAAGCACAAATACACACAGCAGGCAGGACAAATATACACAGCTCAAAACAATCTGCTTGGGTCAGGGCCACGGTTACAAATTCACATCTTTCCATTTGTTTGATTGTGCATTTGGTTTTTGAGACAAGATGTAGCTGTGTAGTTTAGGCTGGTGTTGAATACACTATGTAGCCAGATGTAGTGGTACATACCTGGAATCCCAGAACTCAGGAGGTTGAGGCAGGGAGACTGCTGGGAGTTCAAGGCCAGCTTGAATGACATAGCAAGACCCTGTCTCAAAAAAACCAAAAAACCCCCTAAAATCGGACTCACTATGAAGCCCAGGTTGGCCTCAAACTTGCAAGCAATTCTCTTGCCTCAGCCTCCTAAATGCTAAGATTATACAGGCCACCATGCCTGGCTTTCAAGTCCTTTCTTTTACAGTAATGTCTACAAGATTAGGACAGGGAAGGACTAAATGAGAAAATGAGAACCTTCCCATCAAACTATTCATTGTAAGGCACTTGAGGAAGACTATAAACACTTTATAGTTTGTGCTTGTGAAATCTTATCAGTGTCAATTCTTGTCAAGGCCCAAGGCATTGTAAAGCAAAGTACAAGATATTTTCTTCCCAAATTCTTTCTTTTTTGGTACCGGGGATTGAACTCGGGACCTTATGCTTTTGAAGCAGGTGGCAGAACCACTGAGCTAAGTCCCCTGCCCTCTTCCCAAATTCTTACAGAGCTAATACTTGTGACATGACTTTTTATTGCAGCATGACTTAATTATGCATAGTCTTATTTATTTAATTTATTTATTTATTTTGAGACAGGTCTCAGTGTGGAGTTCAGGCTGGCCTTGAGCTCACCCAGTAGCCTTAGCCTAGGGATACTGGGATTACAGGTGTGTGTCACCAGGCCTGGCTAATTTTTCAGTGTCTTAACATCATTCTTATCAATGACTCAACATTTCTTGCAATTTTAGTACAGTTACCTTTGTCCTGTCCAAGTGATGAGGGACAAAAAGTCAGTCAAAAAACTATAACAGGGTCCGGGGATTTACCTCAGTGGTTCTGGCGCCTGCCTTGCAAGTGCAAGGTCCTGAGTTCAATCCCCGGTACCAAAAAAAAACAACCAAAAAAAACTATAAGAACAAGGGCTAGGGATTTAGCTCGGTGGCACCATGCCTGTCTCACGAGCACAAGGTCCTGAGTTTGATCCCCGGTCCCCCCAAAAACCAAAAAAACCATAAGAACATTTCAACAAGTGTACCATTTCTCATTCTAACACACAGGTTTATTTTATATATATACATATATATATGTATATATATGCATATATACGTATATACATACATATATATACATATATATGCATATATATACGTATATATGCATATATACGTATATATACATATATATGTATATATATATACACACATATATATATTTTTGTTTGTTTGTTTGTTTTTTGAGACAGGGTCTTGAAATGCAGCTGGCCTTGAACTCACTATGTAGCCCAGGCTAGCCTCAAACTTGGAGCAATCCTCCTGCCTCAGTGCAGGGATTACAGCCATGTGCAACCATGCCTGGCTAACTCACAGTTTTAAAGATCAGAGAGAGTGAGATTTTGTTTGTTTGTTTGTTTGAGACAGGGTCTCCCTATGTAGTCCAGGCTAGCCTTAAAGTCACTATGAAGCTCAGCCTAGCCCTGAACTCTTGGTGATCCTCTAGCCTTAGCCTCCCAAGTGCTGGGATTATAGGTGTGCACTATCATGCATGGCTGTACTGGTTCATTTTTTAAAAGTGTTTCGAATTAAAAATGACGTAGATGTTATTGACGTCGGAATATAGTATAAGCAGAAAAGTTGTTATAAAGTATAGTCTTAATTTTTATAAAAATACAAATGTATTACATATATACATGTACATGTGATTGAACAGACTAAGGCTCTCTCTGGCTGTGCAATACAGGTCTTGTAAATTTCCTCTTTTGTTTCTTATTTATTTATCTATTTATTTAGATAGATATTGGGCATCAAACTCTGGACATTGCAGGGCCGGGGATTTAGCTCAGTGGTGCCGCTTGTCTCGAAAGCAGGAGGTCCTGAGTTCGACTGTGGTTTTGGTACCGGGGATTGAACTCAGGACCTCCTGCTTGCGAGGCAAGCGGGACCACTGAGCTAAATCCCCGGCCCTTTGCTTACATAAACAGTAAAATAATTATTTAAAAAAAAAAAGAACATGCTTTTCATCATAAAACTAGAAATGATTATTTTTAAAAAATTAAGACTTTTGTCATTTAAATTTACTTACCAAGAGATTCTCTCCCGCCACTCCTCTGTTGTTAAAAACCACACACCTAAAAAAAAAACCATACGGATACATCTAAAAATCAAGAAAGTAACATTATTCTACACGATTCTTGTTCATGATGTACTATAAAATGATCTTTCCGACACCGATCCACAGTAGTAAAGGACTTAAAAAATGTGATCTACAGACCTGACAATATTCAACAACTTCATCTAAGTGCACTAAAAAACAATTCCAATTGCTTAAATTCAACATGGGATTCAAATCAGAAAGCTGTACGTTGGGGCCAGGGATTTAGCTCAGTGGTACCCCCGCCTGCCAGGCAAGCGCAAGGTCCTGAGTTCGATCTCCGGTACCAAAAAACAAAAAAACCTGTACGTTGAAGTGAGCGAATTCTTCCTTCCAAATCCCCAGGAATTTTACAACTTCTCTTTCTGCATAAATCTGGGCCTCTGGTAAGCATTACTAAAACAGTTCTAAAGTGGGTCTGATTTCAGTGTTTTTGCTTCAGATATGTGCTCCACCCACTGGGGAGATTGCATCATTAAGATCTCTAGCTCAGGGCCAGAGATTTAGCTCAGCGATTCTGGCGTCTGCCTCACAAGCACAAGGTCTTGAGTTCAATCCCCGGTACCAAAAAAAAACAAAATTGAAAAAGATCTCTAGATATGTTAAGAAATTGCTCTGTTTGCAGCCCGCTGGGGAGGTGACCCTGGGTCACAGGCGTTCCCTGCCATCTTGTTTGCATCTCCTGGGCAAACGTGGGATCCAAAGGCTTCGATCAATGGGTGTCAGCTGTTAGCAGCAATGGCATTCCTGGTGACAAAGTGGCTTTGAAGAGTTACTCTTTGCTTACAATATTGAACTTTCAGGTTTCGATGTTAACTTTCCGTTAACCATGACCCCACCTGTATATTTTGCAATTCTTGGGATAGAATCCGGCCTGGGGTCTAGATAGGTTCTCACTGATGTACTGAGTGTATTTGACGTCCCTTAGCATTACGTTTGCTTTCCTCTGTTTACTTATCCGATCAGTCAGGATTCAGATTTCCTCCATTCAGGCCCTGCTGACCCTTGTGCAGGTTCGCAGCACCAGTGGGCTCAATGGCCGGCAGAACAGCGACAGCTCTGACTCCTCTCCAGAGTCAGGTTTCAAGGCCTGATGCCCCTGTCAATGTGTCCTCAGGATGTTTCTGCAAAGGAATTCTTTCTCGTGTCTGAAACGCCATATGGAGAAAAAACAATTTTTTTTTTGGAGGCAAGGTCTTATAATGTAGCTCAGAATGGCCTCAAACTCATGATCCTTTTGCCTCAGCCTCCCAAATGCTGGGATTCCAGGGTGCTATGATGCCTGGCTCATATAGAGAATATTATCTAGCTAAAACAAATGTTTTTTAAAAATCTCAGACTATGATTTTCAGAAAAATGTAGAAATATGACACTTTATTGAGTCACTTAAGAGACATTTTCACACTGAAACAACATGGATGGTACTGGGGATGGAAGTAGGCAAGCCCTCCATCACTGAGCCACACCCCTAATCTTTTTCAAAAATTTGAGACAGGGCCAGGGATTTAGCTCAGTGGTTTCACCGCTTGCTGTGCAAGCACAAGGACCTGAGTTTGATCCCCGGTACCAAAAAAAATAAATAAAATTGAGACAGAGTCTGGCTACGTTGCTCAGGCTGGACTCAAACTTGTGACCCTCCTGCCTCAGCCTCTGCACAATAACTGAAACTATAGGTGCGTGCCACCCACCCCACTTGAGGTTACTCTTTATTTTTTTGCTAAAAAGAATGGCAAGACAGCCTAGATATTAATAATAAGATTTAATGTGGCCACGTACAGCCCCTTGCTTAAGCACGTGATCCCACACAGGAATCGGTGCTCCAGGGAGCTGTAACCTGGAACCCCAAGCTCCTTGTCAGGTAAGAATCACTTTAGGGTGCAAGCGTTAAGTAAGGGTTAAAATGGGTTCTGGAGCAAGAGGTCATCAGGTGACTGCCGCTGAGAGAAGGCAACAGAAGGAGGGAGGGGAAAGGAAAAGCAGCTCAGACACAGGATTTCCCTCCAAACAGCAGCCTGGGAATCCACGCCTCCCCGCAGGCCACCCTGAGAGGTGGGTCCGGGCTCTGGTGTCTGTTTATGTCAGAGGAGGCACTGGCCTGACCCAGGTCTCTCTAGGTTTTGGGTCCAGTCGCAGGGTCACCATGGCGACCTCTAACCTGGCGCATGCGCAAAGGGGTAAGGAAGGCCCAGGGACCACGCAGCCCAGGGCCCGATGAGGGCTACAGCTCAGCCCCTTCCGGCCTCCAGCTGGTGACAGCAAGCAGTCTGCTCCCCTGACAGTCACTGCGACACAAACCTAAAGGCCTGTTCCTAAGGCACTGATGAGCATGGGAAAGTGCTCTCCAAACAAATCCACAGCGAGTCAAGGGCCTGGAGGGGGTGCAGATGAGGTAAGTTGGTCTGCAAAACTGGCATTTTTTTCCTACATATCTTAGCTCTTTAGAATTTCTTATCAAAACAAAGAAAGTAGAAATAAAGAGAAAAAATATCAAAGAGTAAATCTGGTATGAAGAACTTTCTGGAACAACGGAAGTTGTTAACCAGGTACTATGGTTTTGAGATGATTTGAGTGTGACCCCTAACGGTTCGTGAGCTGAAATTTCATCCCCGTTGTGAGGTAGGAAGAGGCTAGAAACTTAATTCCATTGTTTTATTTATTTATTTTTGGTTTTCTGATAAAGGGTCTCACTATGGAGCCCAGGCTGGTCTCAAATTTGCAGTGATCCTCCTGACTCAGCCTCCCAAGTGCTGGGGTTACAGGTGTGGGCCACCATGCCCGGCTCCATTACCACGAGCTGATGAGGATTGGATAGGGGTGGAGCCTCCATCCCTGAACACTGCTGGCTTCATAAGGGGGTGGGTGCCGGGGTGTAGCTGGCTGGCAGAGTCCTTTCCCAGCACGAGTGAGGCACTGGGTTCTGTCCAGAGCACCCTAAAGGGTGGGCGGGGAGACCAGGACATACAGGCCCATGCTTCCTATCTCTTCCTCTGCTCTACTCAACCTCAGCCACCGCATCACAGGAATGCAAGACAGGGCACGCGATGAGCAGAAGGGTTCTCTGTCCCCAGCACTGCCGACACTGCAGACCAAATACTCTTTATGATCTGGCCACCCTGTGCACCCTAAGGTGTCCCTCAGCATCTCTGGCCTCTGCCGACCACAATCCAGTAAAGCCGCCCCAGGCAGGCAAGAAGCACTGCAACTGTGAGATGGGCCAGACCCCGGAGAACACAGGTGGGCTTTCTTGTCACACAGGTGCAGGCGGGGCGTGGGCACCAAGGACAGCACAGGAGGACAGAGGGCAGGACGCCTCTCCGGGCCGCACTTCCAGATCTGTGCTCTGAGGGGCTTCAGCGGGGTGTGATGGTGCCTGAATGATCGCGGGAGGCTGAGGCAGGAGGATCACCATATGTTTGAGGCCAGTCTGGGGCTACACAGTGAGACCCTGTCTCAAAAAGACTAAAAAAAAATTAAAGAAATAAATACATATGGGGATTTTAATCAGGCAGTCTTAAATATTTTCCAGTTTTAGGTTTCTCCAAGGGTTTGAGTCTAATGATAGAAATCATCAGTAAAGAGTGGAGACAGAGGAGCATTCAGGGCTCAGCTATTCATACCACTTCTGAGTTCAGATAATAGCAATAACATAATGTTCACTTCTGTCCACTGCCGGCCAGATCATGCTCTAAGCATTTCACATGGATACAATATTCAAACTTCCCTACACAGAACATTCACTGACCCTGCAGGAAACAAGGAACAGAGAGGTTCCTGCCCGGGAAGGCATCATCTGGCCCACTGAAAAGCTACACAGTGCAGTTTGGGCTGAGCAACTACAAGAGGAGCGACTGTCATGGTAGTGTGGGACCCAATGTCCACCGCGGGTGTAGACAGGGAAGCCTTTTGAATCAGGGTGGGCAAAGTGATTAGGAGAGGTTCTGTGGAAAAGGAGACAAATCTTATGCTGAGACGTGAAAAATGGTAATGCTTTCGGCAGGAGGAAAATGTGGGGAGCAATGCAAGCAAAGGTAGAAATATGAAATGTTCTAAGGGGTGGAAAACAAAGATCATCTGAGTTGAGAAACGGCTCCATACAAGGTAATACCAGGACGGACAAGGAGGTTAGGACCCAGTCAGGCATAGGAACAAAGAGGTTCTGTCTCAGGAAGGTCCAGGTGGATGCAGTAGGCCAGCCCTTGCAGGATAATAGCCACAGACTCCTGACACAATAGAAAGGCAGTAGAGAGCAGCAAAAGTAGCAAGCAGGGGCCAAGGATTTAGCTCAGTGGTTCTACCGCCTGCCTCGAAAGCGGACATTCTGAGTTCAATCTCTGGTACCAAAACAAACAAACAACAAACAAAAAAGTAGCAGGCAGAAACTGTGGACACCTTGATTCGAGGAAGAGGAAGTGGCATTGCTTTCATATTTGTATAGCTTTCTGTTCTGGGGTTTGTTTGGTTTTTTGTTTTGGTCTCACTGAGTAGTTCTGCTGGGCTTGAACTCACTATGTAGTTGAGGCTGGCCTCAAATTCAAGGTGATCCTCCTTCCTCAGTCTACTGAGTGCTGGGATTCTAGGCGTGCACCACCATGCCTGGCATGTTTTTATTTTTCTGGACTTAGGAGAGAGGCAGTAATTGGCTTTACTCATTTTTTGATCAAAGGCCAATAGAAATGTTTAGTTTTATAGACAGGCATATATTTTCCTCCCTTTTTTGGTTTTTTGAAACAGAGTCTTCTTACACAGCCCAGGCTGGCCTTGAACTCATAACCCTCCTGCATCAGTGTCCCCAGGGGTAGGATTACAAGAATGCACCCCCACACCGTGACCTTTCTTGGCGCTGGGGCTCAAACCAAGGAATCAAGTGCTGTCTTACTGAGCTCTGTCTCCGCTTAGAGGCTCGAAGAACAGGGAGAGCAGAGGTTGGGGCCAGTATGACAGTTGCGCGATGAGGGAGGAGTCTCAGAAGGAGGACTCAGGAGAGCCCTAAATTTGGGGTGAAAACCAGATCCTTGTCTTGGCTAAAGCCTTCATCTATGCCGATGTGAGGCAGACTCCGTGCAGCCCAAGTAAGGCTAAAAAATGGGACAGATTTTAAAGGTTCCAGCGGAGACAGAGCAGGAAGTTTGAGTTTAGCCAAACCATTTGATAAACAGAAACCAATACTCTTTGGGGAAATATAATGGAATCCACTCTCTCCATGGGTCATTCAGGCATCCATGGCACAACTCAAAGGGCCAGAACATGAAAGAATAGGAAGACATGGCCCAGACTCTGGAATTGAGACCCCGACCCGGGGTGGGCCAGATGGCAGAATCAGCAGATGAAGATTTACAGCAGCTATGAGAACAATGCCCAAGGACTTAAAGGCCAAAAGCAGACAAAGAATTGAAAGCACAGGAAATCTCAGCAGAGGAATAGGATTATTAAGAATGAAAATTCTTTTTTTTGGTATGGGGATCGAACTCAGGACCTTGTGCTTTTGAGGCAGGTGTGGTGTCACTGGGCTAAATCCCTGGCCCTAAAAATGAAAATTCTAAGGGCCCGGGGGTGTAACTCAGTGATAGAGTGCAGGGTTAGCAGGTCCAGGGTTCTAGTTTTGGGTTTTTTTGGTACCAGGGATTGAATTCGGGGTCCTTGTGCTTGTGTGGCAGACAGCAGAACCACTGAGCTAAATCCCCAGCCCTGGAAATAGAAAATCTTACAATGAGCATCAGATCATCTCTTTCATTCCCAACTACTTGGGAGGCTGAGGCAGGAGGATCACAAGCAGAAGGCAAGGCTGGGCAACTTAGATCGTATCTTAAAAGAAAAAAAAAAGGTCTGGGGATGTAGCTCAGTACTGGAGCTCCTGGCTAGTATGCAAGAAGCCCTGGATCTAGTTCCCAGTGCTGGTGGGGGCAGGGTTCTCTTTCAGTGATCTCTTACCCTATTTTATTGGAAATCCCCCTACTCTGATCCTAAAATGTACTTGGCTGCTTTCTAACGTCCTCCTATTTGTTTATATATATATATATATATATATATATATATATATATACACACACACACACACACACACACATATATTTTTTTGTATTAGTTTTTATTCACTTGAATTCTAGTTTTGTGCCTCTGATATTTTTAATAGAGTCTGTCCACTTACTACCTGGTTGAACTACTAGGAGCTCTACCTACGTGAGTTTTAGTGCTTATGATGAACAACAGTGTCATGAGTCCCTGTGCTGGGGACTTTACCTCCCCTCAGTCACAGCTGAGTGTGACAGGATGATGTAGATCCAGGGGCCGCTCTGCCTTAGCAAGGCATCTCCTCCCCCTCCCTGGACCAGTGAGGGCCTGGCCAGGCGAGGTGCCAGCTCTAGGACGCTGGGATTGCTGGCCATGGACCTGCACAGTACGCATCTCATTTCTATCTCAACAGACTACAATAGCGAGCCTCTTCCCAAGCCAGACAATGGCCCCCATTCACTCCTGTAGATTTCATATCTATTTTTTTATATTTGTACCAGAGATTAAACCTAGGACCTTCATACTGAACTACACCTACAGCCTTTTCTTAATCTTTTATTTGGAGACAGGGACTTGCTAAGTTACTAAGTTGCCCAAGTGGGGAATTTGCTATCCTCCTGCCTCAGCCTACCAGAGTGCTGGGGTGACAGGCGTATACCTCCATGCCTGTCTTTCTATACAATTCTTTTTAAATGTTTGTTACGGGCCAGGTACCAATGTGTGTTCTTCATCTACACTGCAGAGATCCCCACAACCGTAGGAGGTGTAAGGTATCACCATAGATGAGGAAACTGAGGCACAAAGATTGACTTGTTCCAAACACATAAGTGGTGTGTGATGGGGCTGGGGTCAGAATCCACTCCAGCACTGTGCTGCCCGTGGTAGCTAAGTCGATAACATTGAAGTCTCTTTCTCCCAAGGCGGATGGGAGTTCTGGGAGTGGAGTGCCTCTCCGGGTGCACTGGCCCTGATAAAAAGAGCTTTGTCCTTGAACGGCAGCCCCATTCTGCAGGGGAATCGCTCACAATGAGTCCCCAGAGAACACGACCCTTGTTCAGGACCATCGCAACTCTTCCTAGAATCTCATTAAAAAGGCTAAATTCTCATTCAGAGCTTTCTAGTGCATGTTACTTTATCTAGCAAGCCCCAGAAAGAATCCGTTAACAGCCTTATCCCTCACATTTTAAAAGCCAAATCATTTTAACAACAAAAGAAATGAGCTTCCAAGATAAAAATATGCTAGTGTTAGTATAAAATACTTTCTCATCTAAGACCCGGCTTTCAGATTGCAGGGAGGGAGTCAGGACTCGCACTTCTGTTCCTGCCTTGCTCTGCTCCCTGACCTCTCCTCCTTCCTCCCCCAGAGCTCTGCAGGTCGCTGGGCCTGGAAGGCTGCAAGAAAGATGCACGGAGCTGCGGCGGCTGCTTCCCCTAAATAACAACTCTCAGGCCCAGATTCCAAAGCTGAGAGAAACATCTAAAAACAGCCAGGATGGACAAATAGCTCAGGGGTAGAGTGCTTGCCTAGCATGTATGAGGCACTGGGTTCAACCTCTGATACGGTGAGGGAAAAGGAAAGGAAGGGAAAGGAAGAAAAGGAAAAAAGAAAGGGAAAAGAAAAAGAAAGAGAAAACAGAAGAAGGAAAATATGTAAAGGCCAGGCACAGGGGTGCATGGATGCGTATCTAGGAACTTGACAGGACTGCTGGAGCCCAGGAGTCCAAGCCTGGGCAATGTAGCAAAACTGTCTCAAATAGATAAACAAATCGGAAATCAATCAGAGCAGTCGCAGCTTAGCCAGTTTCTAAATCACCTCCCACCTTAAATTTCTAGGAGTGATGGAGAATGGACAGCAGCACCTTTAGTACTGTAAGTGGGGTCTGCAGTGCTGAGTAAGGCTTCGATCCCATCAAACCACATAAAAAAATCAGACCTTTCTCTAGTAAAAATAGAAATCTTTTTGGGGGGCCGGGGGTTTAGCTCAGTGGTTCTGCCGCCTGACTCGGCAAGTGCAAGGTCCCAAGTTTGATCCCCGGTACCAAAAAATAAAAAAATAAAAATAAATAAATAGTAAAAATAAATAAAAATGGGGCAAAAGAATAAAAAATGTCTCGAAATACACATCTACCATGGTGACAAATCTCTCAGGTGCCCCTTTCCTCTTCCAACTTTCCTGTTCTCCCCGCCTGCTGTCAGACTTATCAAACATGCACCCCGGCTGCAGACCTCGCAGGGGGTGAAGGCTGCAGTCTCTCTGGCATTCACACCCCTTGTCCCTCAGTAACAACCTAAGTCGGTACATTGCTGCCCTAAATAAAGAGTTCATTTTCAAGCTTCCCTTGCAGTTACAGGCTGATGTTATGTAAGGAAAAGGTGTGTGCACATTGCTGGGTCTGCATCTTTTTTTTTTTTTTTGCTGGAGGTTGAAGCCAGGGCCTCCGAGTGATAGGCTTATGCTCTAGCACTAAGCTACCTCTCTGGTCCCTTGGGTCTGCATCCTTAATGGATGATGCTTTTTTTTTTTCCTTTTCTTTTTTTGAGATAAGACCTTGTTATGTAGTTCAGGCTGGCTTTGAACTCACTGTGTACCCCAGGCTGGCTTTGAACTTACCGTGGTCCTCCTGCCTCAGCCTCCCGAGTGAGGAGATTATAGGCATGCACCACTATGCCTGGCTGAGGATGGTGCATTTTTTACTCTCCTCTTATTCTCCTCCTTGCTTGCTGGGATGCAAGTGTAATAGCTAGAGCTGAAGAATCCACGGGCTCAGAGGCCTGGGTTCTTGGAACCACAGACAGCACACCAGACAGGCTGTGGCCCGCCTTGGATTTTTTTTTTCCACATGGGAGACATAACTCTGATCTTGTCTACGTTGCTGTTATTTGAGTTTTCTGTCGTTTGCAGCCAATCCCGGTTCTTTCTAATGTAGACTTGCTGACTTCTGCATCCTCTCTCCCTGTCACTTCAACTAGACCGCACACTCCTTGGGAATATAGGTTCTGATCCTGTACTCTACAGCACCAAAATACTTAGAGACTGACCCAGATGCCAGCGCGCTTACTGTTATATAATGCAGGACGGGTCACTCTTTAATATTAGCAGGGGTAGGATATGATGGTGCATGAATTAAAAAAAAAAGGTCAAGGTAAAAGATAATCCAGATGTTGTCAGAGTTACTGTTTTTCTCCTTGTTTCTGTTTTGGTATTTGAAATTAATTCAGAGATAGGAGAAAGATTTAAGAAAATAGGATATTATTCAGGTACCTAAAACAATGCCTATTAGACTACACTTCTGAATGGATTTTTTTTTTTAACACAGGGATTCACTGAGTTACCCAGGCTGGTCCTGAAATCCTTGGCTTCAGGCGTCCTCCTGCCTCAGCCCCCCAAGTAGCAGGACAGACTTCAGGCACACCACTGCACTGGCTTGAATGAAGACTGATGGCTTTTGAGATAGGGTCTCACTATGTAGTTCAGGCTGGGCTTGAACTCACAATGTAGCCCATGCTGGTCTTGAATTTGCAGTGATCCTCCTGACTCAGCCTCCCAAGTGCTGGGATTACAAGTGTGCACCACCACACCGGCATGGAGATTTTTTAAAAAGAAATTTCAAATACATGGTTAAGATGTTAACAGTTTTCTCAGTCATGTAGGTATAAATTATTAGAGGTTACCACCGTCCCTTTTCTCTGGTTTTCTAGTTTCCATCAGAAGGATGTCTCTCTAAACACACTCCTGGGCTTCTGGCCTTTCTTACCCTTCTTGCTCTCCAGGTAGACGACTTAAGTGATTGGTAAAATTCGGAAGAATTTATCTGGCTCAGCAATTTCTCTGTCTGGGGAGAGGTCTAGCAGACAGCACGCCGTGTGCTCGCCCAAGGAAGGTGGGCAGGGGAGGGAGGGCAAGTGCTCCCATCACTGCTGCACACCTCGACTTACGACTCCCCGCGCTCGCCATTCTCACGCACAAAGTGTAGCCTGCTCTCTGTCCCTTCAATCATTAATTTTAAATGAGTGGACTTCAATATTTTGAAGAAAAATGTTGTGTTTTGGTTAATGTTCAGGTCGAGGAGAAACTGCTTATCATCACCTATAAACTCTTCGGTGTCATCTGTCTGTGTGCTGGGAGTCAGGTTCCTGTCTCTAAATCGCTCATCAGTAAAGCATCAACAGATCCCTGGTGACCTGAAAGAATTCGTGACCCCTCCACCCCTAATAAAGTAGAACTTAAAAGAAAATCAGTTTGGTTTGGTTTGGATTCTTTTCCTTTGTTTGTTTGTTTTGAGACAGGGTCTCTCTATGTAGCCCAGGCTGGCCTTGAACTTATGGTGATACTCCTGCTTCAGCCTCTTTTGTGCTGGGATCACAGGCATGCTCCACCCAGCCCAGCCAAATTACAAAAAAGTTTCTGTTCTAATCGGGGAGTAGCAGATGAAAGAAGGATGATATAAACATTTTCTAAAGATCCACTTTCTGCTGGACACTAAACTAAGCACTTTACATATTCTAACTAAACCCTCTGAAGTAGGCAAGAAATTGTGATGGGAGAAATTCAATGAACGCCCAGAGTCACTTGGAAAGCCAACACGGGGATCCAGGCCTGACTCCAAGCCCAAGCATGTTCTGCCCTGCCATGCAGCCTCCCCCAACCCTGTTATCTGCCACAGCATGGATGACTTCCTTCTGTTCTGTCTCCTTAGGTCTCCAACCAGGCTGTGGCAAACTTCCTGATCTATGTCTCACTTCCATGGTCTTTAAAACCACCTGCTCTCTGTGGAAACTGCAATCATGCTTTGTAGGGCTTCCTGTCCAGACTGGGGGGTCTATTCCCTTCCCATGTGACACTCTGAGCAGTAGGGTGGTGGCACACAAATCATCCCAGCCATCACCAGGTGGCCCACCCACGCTGCTGGGCTTGGCCATGTTGCTAATCCACAGAATGGTGAGCAGAATGCTGTTTTAAGCCATCCAGTATGGCTTGTTACACAGCATAGGCTAACTGATACAGCCTCTCTGGCCTCAATGAAGAGACTCTTTGCAGTTAAAAATAAATGTGGATAGACCCAAAAGTCATGGAAAATTTACTGACAATGGCTTTTTTACCTATTCAGCTTCCTAAAAGTCCAGTCTGATTCAATGTTAGTACTCCCTAAAACCAAATAGGCTACGTATTCTAAAAACTGACAATGGCCAGATGTGGTGGTGCACACCTGTGATCCCAGCACTCAGGAGGCTGAGTCAGGAGGATGGCTTCGAGTTTGAAACCAGTGTGGGCTACACAGTGAATTCAAGGTCAGCTTGAATTACATACAAACCCTGTCACAAACAACTAATAAACAAACAGAAGGTGACAATGAATTCATCCAGCCTTCCTCTCTCGTACACTCCTTGAGGCAAGGAAACATTTCACAACTGTGTATCTCCAGAAGCAATAGAAAAGAGGTGATTTTAATCCCCAGGGAAGCTAAAACCTTCCAGCTACTTTGAAGTACACTGTAGTCATAACCTTGGGAATAAAGTTTGGTGACTTTAATAAGAAATGGACAAGGGCCAGGGATGTAGCTCAGTGGTTCCGCCGCCTGCCTTGCAAGTGCAAGGACCCAAGTTCGATCCCCAGTACCAAAACAAACAAACAAACAAACAAAAAACAAATGGACAAAAGCCATGGCCACACGTGGGGCTCATGAGACTTAGTCCTTGAATTTCAACTACATTGTTTATTTTCTTCTTTTGGGGGGAGGGGATGGAACCCAGGTCTCCCACATGCTAAGCTCTCCATCACCAAACTACACACTCAGCTCCCCTTGGGAGACAGCTCAGGCCAAAGTCAGGATCAATTTAGATATGTACAAAAGGCCTTATGAGGTTTTGCACTTTGTTTTTTTTTCTTGTGTGTGTGAGATTTTGAGACAGGGTCTCACTATGCACTCCAGGCTGGCCTTGAACTTATAAAAAGGGCTTTATGTATAAAAGATCAGCCGGGGATTTAGCTCAGTGGCACTGTGTCTGCCTTGCAAGTGCAAGGTCCTGAGTTCGATCCCTGGTACCAAAAAAAAAAATCAGAGTTAACTCGTTAAAATGGAATTCACAGGCTGGGGATTTAGCTCAGTGGTTCCGCCGCCTGCCTCAAAAGCGCAAGGTCCCAAGTTCGATCCCTGGTACCAAAAATAAATAAATAAATAAATAAAATAAAATAAAATGGAATTCACTATTGGGGCATTCCTCCCTTTATATCAAAATGCTTTTATTAACATAAACACAAGCATCGGTCTTACACACACACACACACACACACACACAAGTGTTTCAAGTTTAACAAAAGATAGAATTCTAGAGACAAACCAGAGTTTCCCGTTACAATCATTACCTCAGCTAAAAATACTGAGGCACAACAAAGCAGTACCTTTCTTTTTTTTTTTTTATGGCACAGGGGATCGAACACAGGACCTTGTGCTTTCGAGGCAGGCAGCAGCACCACTGAGTTAAATCCCTGGCCCCAGCAGTACCTTTCTTAATGACCCATAATGAATGACCCTTAATGACCCTTTCCTCAGAGTCTAGAGCTGTGGGCCAGGGATTTAGCTCAGTGGTTCTGCCGCTTGCCTTGAAAGTGCAAGGACCCCAGTTCAATCCTTAGTACTGAAAAAAAAAAAAAAAAAAAGAGTCCAGAGCTGAGCCCAAAACTCAAAGCTGCTAAGTCACTTGCAAAAATTACACTGTACCCGTTGACTGAGCTGAACAACAGCTACTCAGAAATGCTGCGACATCAACTGGACCCTCGCCATGAGCACCTGCACACTCAGGAGGCACCTTTGGAAAACAAGGATGGCCTAAAAGCTGATTCTGAGTATTTGCTACACTTGGGACCTGAGCCAAGGAGACAAGATTAGCAAATCGAAGGCCCAGATACAGAGCGTGACTCGAGTACTCTCTATCGGGAGTTTGTAAGCCCTGTTCTCCAAAGCTCTCCTGCCTGAGGTGGGGTGTTCTATAGCTTTTCAGACCTGGGGCCTTCTGTCAATTCTCTGATGATTCTAACTCCATTTGTTCCTTCAACCTAAGTGTGCTAAGTGCCTGCTACTATGCTAAGTGTCATTTCTTGTGAGATGATTCTGTTATGCTCCTTTCTGAAAGAGGTAAAAGAGGAAGCAAAGAAAAAGAATAACTTAAGTGACTACTTTATACATGCAAGAAATAGTACATATTTATAAAACATATGTGTGGATATAGTTAGGTGAGTTAGGTGAAAAATGGAAAAAGATCTTGCACCAGTACCTGTATCCTAATTCTTCACTGAGATGGATCATATGAAGGATATAGGATTCCTTGCTTGTTCCAGTGAGTCCAGGGAGCAATAAGATGGTGGGTCTGGTGCTGGCATCTGTATAATACGCACTGTTATCATTATCAAACCAGTCCAAAGAAATCTGTCCTCCATCTGCAGTTTTAATAAGTTCACTGAAAGAAACAATTCCAAAGACATTACTCATTAAGTCTTTCAAATTCTGTCTTACTGTTAGGGTTTTTTGTTTTTTGAGTCAGGATCTTGCTGTATGTAGCTCAGGGTGGCCTTAAACTCACTATGTAGCCCAGCCTGGCCTCGAACTCAATAGTAATCCTCCTGCCTCAGCATCCCAAGTGCTGGGATTACGGGCATGTGCCACCACACCTGGACAATATTAGGGTTTGTTTTTGTTTGTTTTTAATGTTACGGTTTTATTTCTACAAATATCCGACATTTTTGGTCATCTCAAAATAACTTAAATTCAGCATTCACTCACACACAAACAAATCTATGTGTCACTTTCTTTCACCATAAGGATGATATAAAGATTAGTACCATAGCATATTTCCAGCAGCCCCAATAAAAGGTAATACACAAAAATTAACTTCAAATCCCTTCAAACATTTGAGCTGGAGGTGTGGCTCACTGCGAAGTGCTTGCCTAGCTTGTGCAAGCCTTGGGTTCAATCCCCAGCACCGCAAGAGAAAAAAAAAAGCACTTCAAATATTTATCGTGTAATCATTTCCTCATTACTCTAAATACCTAGCATTTAACCCCAATTTGATTGAGGTCACTCAGCTAACTCAACAGGGAATCATAAAATGCAGATCTGATTATGGCTGTAGCTCTTCTAACTCAATAATGCAGCCTCCCCACAGAGTCCAGTACACAATTTGCTTCTTAAATAAGGTATTTCTTACATAGTATCTATAAACTTAACAATTTTCCCAAATCGTGCACATTTGAGGCAACAAAAGTCTAGAAGCACTAGATGACTCAGGGAAATTAAAAACAGGCACCACTTAAGTCTCCTGGCTACACATTCCCGGCTACACGGCTAACATCTCAAGCACAGCCTCACCAAGGAGGCAGCTGCGTGTCAGCGGGAAGGTCCCAGGAGCCGCGGAGAGGAGGCCCGAAACACCCTGGTGCCCGCGGGACAGATGCAGGACAAACCGGGGAAGTAGTACCTCAGGTACTTCTCCCTCCTAGAAAATAAACCATTTCCATTAGGGGCCAAAAGAGAGAAAAAGAAAGAGGAAAGGAAAGGCAATATCTGAAGATTTTTCCTGCAGCTTCAAGTGGGGCTGGGGGCTCGCTTTCCATTTCCTCCCCCGATCCTGCTCTCTACGGAAGCCAGAGGTCCTGTCAGTCCCGAGCCGGGAGCTCGCAGGGCCGGACGCGCACTTACTTCCTGTAGCGCACCGGGGGCTTGGCGGTGATGAAAGGTCTCAGCAGCGTCTGTCCTCGGCTCTCCCAGCACCAGACCGTGGGGTAGTAAGTTTCCGTCACCACGGGACAGTGCTCCTGGAGAAAGCGGCTGAAACTTTCGCCTCCCGTCACTAGCCGGGGCTTCTGCAGGGAAAGCCGGTCGTCAGCGAAGGGTCCGGACAGGGGCGCACTTTCCGCCGAGTAGCCGCAGCCCCTGAGAGACCCCCGATGCCTACTCCTGGGAGACGGGCGCGAAGGATTCACGGTCGCGACCGTCTAAGCGGTGGCTCACCGGATCCCCGGGGGAAAAGGCGAGAGTCAAGGCGGGCGTCCTCCTCTGAGGCGCTGCACGGTCCCGCCGCGGGCCGAGGATCCGAGCCGCGAATCCCCGGCCCCGTCCCCAGAGCACGTGGCGGGGGCTGCCCGGCGTCCCCGCGCCACGGGGCCGCGTCCAGGGCGAAGGACACCGCGGGACCCGCGCGCCCCCCGATGCCACCAGCCGCTGGTCCGCGCCGCGCTCCCGGCTCACCTTGGCTATGCTGCTCAGGTAGTAACAGGCGTAGGCGACGCTGAAGCCCAGGATCAAGGACAAGCCCATGCCCGAGCCGAAGAACCCGACGCGCACTTGGCGCTCCAGGCAGAGCGAAAGCTCCCGGGACAGCATCCGCAGCTCCGTGGCCAGGTGCTGCATGGCGCGGGCGATCGCGGGCGCCGCGCCCCGTCTCCGGCGTCTCCTACCTGGCACAGCGCGGCTTCCACGAACGGGCGCCGCGCCGCGACCCGGGAACGCCGAGCCCGCCCGCCCGACGCCGCTGGCTCCGCCCCGCCGGCCCCACCCTCGCCCGCCCCTCGGGAACCTTCCGGAGGTGGGGCCCGACCCTGCCCCCGGGCGACTCCGGGCGAACGGAGGTCCCTGCGAGGTCGCGGGAGGCCGGAGCGCCCCACGCGCGTCGGAGCGCGCGCGCCTCCTGCCGGCAGGAGACCGGGCCCTCCCCGGTGACCTTGACCGGTGTCACTCGGGCGACTAGCGGTTGGGGTAGACAGGAAAGGTGGCTCGGATTCCAGGCTTTGGGGACCTTATGCCTAAGCTATGTTGGGAGAATTGGCTACGTAGTGAAAGAATCCTACACGCCCCCTCCCCATGAGTCCGGGACCCCTGGAGGCTGTCAGAAGAGGAGACAAATCCTATAGACATCGAGCGGGCAGGACAGTCATTCGGACTTCAAATCTGTCTGCAAACAGGGAGGTAGATCTTTCGCAAAAGGCCAGGGGACCAAGACGTGTGGGGGGTGGGGGGTGGGGATGAAAAGGGAATGGAGCTGTGTTACCGACACTGACCAATCCCCACCAGGGATGTGACTGCAAACAGGTACCACTGAAAATTAAAAACAATTTCTCAGTGGATCTTCTTAATAGGTAGGGGACTTAAATGAGAAGCAGTTTCTAAGATTAAATGGAAAGGTCAAGAATAGGAAGCAGGATTCAACAATGTCCAAAAGCCCATTTGTGGTTCATGAATTTTTCGAACTTGAAACTTGTGGAAACGCACACCCACTTCCTGAAGCAGGGACAGGAAACGATTTAGGGAGTATGTTTGAGACTCACTTAGGACAAAGTGGTAAAAGTCAGAGGACACTTAAAGGCATGGGAAAGGCCTAGAAGAGGTAATAGGGGTGGCAAGACTTAGGCAAAACAAGGTGAGGCCCGACCAGACTATGAAAAATGTTACGGGGCTGTACATTTTGTAAATATATTTTTATTGGCAGATAGTAACTGTACATGTGTATGAGATTCAGTGTGACATTTCAAGCCATGTGTATACTGTGCAGTGATCACATCACGGGAATTGGCGTATCCGTTGCCTCAGAATTTACTGTTGCTTTGTGTTGGGAACATCTGAAATCCTTCCCCTGTGATTTTGAAATAATTTTTTTCAATCATAGTTAGGATTGTAAATTAATGGTGTGTCTGAGTGATAGGAAATTGAGACAGGCTAGAAGTGAGCTGTTTATTTAGCTTTGATTTGGTCACCGTAGTTTGATGGTTGGTGATACCAAGAATAATTCAATTACTTTCCATGAGCCTGTATCTTTCCTTTCTCTGTGTGTGTGTGGTACTGGGGATTGAACCCAGGGCCTTTTCCCTGAACTACATCCCCAGCTCTTTTTTATTTTTGAGAGAGGGTCTTGCTAGGTTTCCCAGACTGGGCTGGAACTTGTGATACTCCTGCCTCAGCTACCCAGAGTGTTGGGATTAGACGTGTGCACCACCATGCCTGCCTGTTTAATTTTCCTTTAGATAAGAGCTATGATTCCCAATTTATAAGTGAGAAAATGGGAGCACAGAGAATTTCATTCATTCACTAAACTAATCTCTTTTTGGGCTCCTACCAGGCACTGAGGATCTAAAGATGAGTGAGACAGGCAGAGGACTTGACAACTGAGTGGTAACAGAGGAGCAAGCGAGGGACTTCGGGAAGTCACGAGTGGTGGGGAAAGGGGTATCAGCTGTAGTAGTAATAGCGAAATTTGGGGCTGAAGTAGAAAAAAGAGAGTTTCTCACAACGGCATTTGGTAGTTGAAATCTTTAGCAGGGCAGAAGAACTAGGCTTGAAAATTTGGAAAATGCCTCTAAAAAGTTGTGGAGCTGAGCCAGGCAGTAGAAAGGCTGAGGCAGGAGGATCCCCATGAGTTCAAGGCCAGCCTGAACTACATAGTGAGACCCTGGTCTCAAAAAACAAACAAATGAAATAAAAAATAAAGATCAGAAAAGTATCCCTGAAAAAGATGTGAGCAAATGCCTAGTGTCCCCATCCATTTTCTGTTGCTATAACAGACCCGAGAGTGGGTGATTTATAAAGGGAAGAAGTGCATGTAGCTCATGGTTCTAGAGGCTGGAAGTCCAAGATCGCTGATAGCCTGGCTCCCGCTGAGCGGAAGTGAGTTGGGCTCGAGGCCCGTGTGGAAGAGGCGAAACAGGAGGGTGGCCTTAACAACGTGCCTGCGGGATGACTGATCCAGTCCCGGCAGAGAACCCACTCACTACCAGGAGAATTAACCCAGTCCTTCAGGAAAGGTATTAATCCCTTTGAGTGACCTAATCACCTCTCAAAAGCCCCACACTCTGGTAATACTGCTCCATCGGGGACCTTATTTCAACACGTGTTTCAGAGGGGCCAAATCAAATCCAAACCCGAGGGCTCAGCTAAGAAGAGATGAAAGATTTTAATAGGAAGAGAAAACTGTATATTCTGTCTTAAGCCAGAAGGGCAGAGCACCTTATAAGTTTCATAGCCAGGAAGTAGGCAGAGTTGGGGTTTGTACAGGATGCCACCAAGACCTGCTTTGGCAATAATCATGTTACATTATAAAATACTGTTAGCTTTGTGATCAACGCATGATAACAACAAAAAAGAAATAGTTACTTGAAATTTTAAGAAAATTATACCTACAAAAACCTGCAAACCATCTGTCATAATGAAGCTACATCGGTCACTGTGAAACTCGCTGTCTTGGGAGTTTTGTTTTGTTTCATTTTGTTTTATTTTTTGGAGGTGCTGGGGATCAAACCCAGGCCCTTGCACATGCTAGGCAAGCACTGTACCTCAATGATGGTTTGAGCTCTGTCCCCAGGGCTTCTCTTCTCTCTTTTCTTTTCCTTTCTTTTTGAGATTGAGTCTTCCCATGCAATTCAGGCTGGCCTTGAACTCTCAGTGATCCTCCTGCCTCAACCTCCCGAGTGCTGGGATTACAGATGTGTGCCACCACGCCCAGTTCTTTTCAAACTTTTCATCTGTAGCAGGGCAGAAGAACTAAGCCCGTAATTGAAGTAATGGAGCTGGAACAGCACATTCAGCCTTTATAACAGCATGAAGTGCTCAGGAAGCACTTGTCATTTTCTTATTTCTAAGTGTGTATTTGTATTTTAAGGAGAAGAGCCACAGAGAATGTGTGATGGGCAGACCCTCAGGTGACCTGGGCATCTCTGGTCCCCAACCCTGTGTATGCAGGTGGGGCCTGGGACTCACTTCTAACCAACAGAGTATAGCAAAGCAATGGGACACTGCCACTCCTGTGGTTACACTGTCATCTAAGACTGCATTTTAGCAGATGGGAGCTAGAGACTGTCCCACTAGCCTAGAGGAATCAAGTAGCTATGTGAAGTGACCCCATGGAAAGAGCTAGTTCATGAGAGGCCCTGCAGTTTCCAGCTTGGCTTTTTTTTTTTTTTTCCCAGGCAAGGTCTTGCTATGTTGTTCAGGCTGGCGTCCAACTGACTGTGTAGTCTAGGCTGGCCTTGAACTTGCAGTGACCTTCCTGCCTCAGCTGCCCGAGTGCTGGGATTGCAGGCATGTGTCACTAAGCCTGGCTTTCCAACTTGGCCCTTTGAAACATGCACTTCGGGGCAGTCAGCTGCTGTACAAGAAATTCTGCTATTCAGAGGCCACCATGCTTCAAGAAAGCCCAGGCTGACCACATGGAGAGGCTGCTCAGAGCGAGTGAAACACCTGTCCAGCCCAGATGTGCCTGCCGACACAGCTGAACTCCCAGACAGGTGTGTAGAGCAGTTGATTGACCCAGTCACAGCTGTAGATGACTCTGGCCCAGATGTCCTCTGACCACAGCCACATAAGAGACGCCAGCAAGAACGACCCAGCCGAGCCCGTCTGCCCACGGGACTCCAAGCTCATCGAGCGTTAATGCTGAGTCAGTGAGTGTGGGGCAGCCGCTTAGGCAGCACTGAGTAACCAGCACCAGGGCCAACTGTGTCAGGGAGGGACTGGCAAGACAGTTTAAGTCTGTCACCTACCGTGTGGTGCTGACAAGCAAGGGACCATGTGGAGGTGTGTACATCAGCAGTTTTTATTGTTTTTATAAACACTGGTCCTCAATGGATTCAGAATGTTAAACACTTTCAAAAATAGAACTTTAATAAAGATGGCTTGAAAAGCACTGACTTAGAATTTCTTATTTCTAATAGGCCTTCCTTGATATTTTTGTCACTGTTAAAGGTTTCAAAACAAAAAAGGAGAACTAGACCAAATGAAGAAATGTATGTAGACACCATTTACAATGGAAGCCCATTGTAACTCCCATATGGGAGTTCTAAGAATAAATTCTTTTTTATAATTTTAATTTTTATTTTATTAGTGCACGTTCAGAGTACATATTGATCACATTCCTCATGGAGAGTTGCTCCATATACATAACACATCTTAGTTCTTTTAACTTCCCTTTTCCTTCCCCTCATACCCTCCATCTCTTGCTAAACCTTTTTGTGTTTGTTTTCGTTTTTTGAGACAGGGTCTTGGTATGTAGTTCAGGGTGGCCTTGAACTCTCGGTGATCCTCCTGCCTCAGCCTCCCAGGTACTGGGTTACAGGCGTGTCCCACCATGCCTGGCCTATAAATGCTTCTTTTAAAAATAAAGATTTATAGTGGAAGAGCACTTGTCTAGCATGTGTGAGGTCCTGGATTTAATCCCCAGGACCATAACAAACAAGCACAACATTTTAGGATCTTTGGGGGAGAACTTTGGTCACATTTGGAGGATAACAGGGGACTACTCCTTAGTGTGAGAAATACTAAGGAAAGGGAAAAAAGCCAGCATTTTCTTGCCTTCCTTGAATCAACCATATCTTAGGATAATCAAATAGTCCTGAGGGAAAGTTCTACACAAAAGAATTCTGGCTAACAAATTGAAGAAGGAATGGTAGGAAAGGAGTATCATTATTTCACAGCCCATAATGAAATAATTATAATTCTAAGTAATGAGTATTATTGCTGCTTAAACCATAGAAGC